GCCACCCAGAGACCTCTGGGTAGAGTGGGCGGCATATAAATAAATAAATAAATAAATAAATAAATAAATAAATAAATAAATAAATAAATAAATAAAATAAGATACCTCTCCGGTCTTTACCCGAGGGGAACCCTTGTGCCTCGTGTAGCAGCTGCTACACACTTGAGAGAAATCTGCTGGAGTGCAGAACTCAGACGGCTTAGCAAGGACTTTTTCTGCCATTTATTTGTGTGTGTTGCGTGAAAACAGGGCTCCTTAGCCTTCCTCGCTTCCTCTTTTCTAGCAGTCTAACTCTAGCACAAAGTTTAAAGTTCAGGCCTTTGTCGTAATAACCCACCCAATGGTAGCTGCGTTCCTAAGAAAAAGAGGCAAAATGTGGGTAATCTGACTGTCGCCTTCTAGATAAACCCATTCCAGTAGCTTTCATGTCTACCAGCAGGAGATGGTTTCCAAGTTTATGTCTTCCTTATGGAAGCTATCTCTAAACACTTGGCATTATAACCAAGCTTGTTTGTAGCCTATCAGTTTTTCCCTCCCAATTAAATACATATTTGTTCTCAGAGAATAGGGAAGCTTGACATGTGTCCGATGGATGATGTCCTGGTTCCTGCCGATCAAAAAGTCCCTCGGCCCTCAGAACCTTGGTTCCCATGTGCCACTGGCCGTTCTCTGAACTGCTCTGAGCTCTTATGAGGAAGGAGGTGATATGAATGACATAAGCTGTAATCTTTCTTTCTTTCTTTCTTTCTTTCTTTCTTTCTTTCTTTCTATTTCTCTCTCTCTCTTTCTTTCTCCCTCCCTCCTTCCCTCTCTCCCTCTCTCCCTTTCTTTCTTTCTTTCTTTCTTTCTTTCTTTCTTTCTTTCTTTCTTTCTTTCTTTCTTTCTTTCTTTCTTTCTTTCTTTCTTTCTTTCTTTCTTTCTTTGCAGTGCACAATTTAAAATTATGGACATATATGAAATATAGGTAAAATTAAAAACAAAAATGTTACATGTGGACTATTTTTGTCTGGCAGTTTTGTTAATAAATAATAGAGTTGATAGTTTGAAAAAAGCAGAGCCAGCGTTCATGTGATTGCGCCGACTTGTACAGTCCACGCAGCAGAAGAACTGCTGAATGTCAAGTGTGTTTGAACCGTATGAAACATGTTAGTAGTTCCCCCAAAGTGGGTCTGGAGAATCCCTGCCCATTTGCTGTGGTGGCTGAGACGCCTTGGAGCAGAAGCCCAAGAAAGACACATACAAACACAAGTTTGGTGATCGTGGCTCTAAGACATTGGTTCCCAACCTTGGGTCCCCAGATGTTCTTGGAGTAAAACTCCCAGAAGCCTTCACCACCAGCTGTGCTGGTCAAGATTTCTGGGAGACTCAGTCCAAGAACATCTGTGTACGCGAGGTTGGCAACTAAGAGGAGCCTAAGATAAGTGTCTTAATCGTTGTGCCTTTTCTCATTTCCTCTCCCTTTTGTTTTGTTCGGTTCTTCTTTAGATTCACATGCTCACAATGCCATCACAGGTGGACCTCGCACCAAGCAGTGATCTTATTCCACCTGCGTTGGGAGCGATCTGTGAAGCAAGGACGGGTGAAGATGAAGTTCTTCAACCAACGGTGCCGTGAATGTGGCTCGAGCAACTATGAAGCGCCGCAGTTTACTGAGGAGACCATCCTCAATGTCTTGGTACGTTTGGTCTTCACCATAAGAAAGAAGTGCTACCGAGAGCTAGTCGAGGACCGGGACCTCCGCGAGGTGGTCTGCCACAGTGGTGGCCCCCCACATAAGGAGGATTATTGTGAAGCTTGCCAACTGGGAATCCACAAGGGGCCTTCTGAGGCCCCTCAAGATGGAGTCCCCCAAGACAGGATGTCCCCTCAGAAGCCCCAACTCATAAGGCAGTACACTTGGTCTCCAAGCATAACTAGTGATGGGGCAAGCTTTCCTCGGGAATCCCAGCACAGAGAGATTTCAGAGGCCATTAGAGTGGGAGGGAGTGCCCCAGGGCATTCAGAGACCCCTCAAGATGGAGTCTCTCATGGCAAGACTTCCCCTCTGAAGCCCAAACTCATAAGGCAGTACACTTGGTCTCCAAGCATAACTAGTGATGGGGAAACCTTTCCTTGGAAATCCCAACACAGAGAGATTTCAGATGCACTGAGTCAAAGAGCGGCTTCCCAAGAACGACTCCTCCCATCGTCCCCAAGAGTCAGTGGCCGTGGCAAGTGTTGCATTTCCTGCGTGGTTGTGGTTATTATCCTCATTGCCTTTATTGTTCTCATTTGGTTTTTGAAGAATTGGTTCTAGGGAGAGTAGAATCAATGGGAGATTATAACACAAATTCAGAAATCCTACCACAGCACAGACGGTGCCTTGCCTAGACAGATGTGTGTGAATGCTCTTTATTTCCCTCCTTTGATTCTTTCATCGGTTGTTCTGTATCCTCTAATTCTGTGGCTGCTCAATAAACCTCTGGCGCAAGAGGCTTCTTCCTTTCTTCCATTTGAGTCGGTGTTGTTGTCAATAAAAGTTCGTCAGCTGAAACACTCATTAAGAGTGCCATTTGACTATTGCCAGGCCTGACCATTGAGGGGAAACCAATAGTAATTTTACAAACCCTTGCCATTTTGTAGTGTTGCACGATTCAGCTTATATCTGTGCCTGTTCAGGATGTTTAGCTGGCTGGATAGCTCAGTGGGTTTCAGTTTCTGGCTGTAGAACCAGAGGTTGGGAGTTCAATTCCTCCCTTGGGCCTCCTTGGCAGGGGCTGGGCTGGATGACCCCACAGGGTCCCTTCCAGCTCTGCCGTTCTAAGATCATTATCAAAGCATTAAAAAAATCAAACAAGGACATTTAAAATTAGCATAGTTTACAAGTTTACCTCGATGAAGAACTTTATTTTTTTGATGGAAGAGTACACAAAGCTGTGTTACTTTATGGATCCAGTGTAATAAGAACATTTTTTTAAAAAAACACACAACTTTTTCAGATTTTTTTAAAACTGGCATTTTCAGCAAGTCCCTGAGGTTCTG